AGTCTGCCTATTCCTCGGAAGGTGATGAAAGTTCGAGAAGGAGGCAAGATGGTGTATTATTTATGAAGGTGCGGGGAGTCGGTTTCTTCAGTCACCGACTCCGAGTCAAAAGAAGAGCCTCCTGACAATGATATAGTAATAAAGCCTGAAGTGGCTCCAGAATGTATGCAAGATGGGCCGAAGCCTCAGCCCGAACAACTTATTGAAATAGATCTGAGTGATGGACAAGATGCACCGAGGCCGGTATTCGTAAGTTCGAGCCTTAGCCCAGAAAAGCGGGAACAGTTGTTAAAGTTGATAAGCCGATACTCAGATGTGTTTGCTTGGTCATATAAGGAAATGCCCGGACTAGATCCTGACCTAGTCTCCCACTATCTTGAAAATGTTTCTAGTTAACCACAAGCTACCCACCTTCTCGGCATTAATAGAAGCAGCTCGGAACATTAGCATTCCTCAGGCTCAGGAGTCCGGATTTAAGGCCAGTTACAAGACTAGTTTCAAATCGTCTCGTGGACCTATTGTTGCTGCTGCCTCTGCCCCGGATACCCGAAATTCACAAGGAGGAGGTCATAGAGGCCAGAAGAGGAAGCAATATAATGGTGAAAAGGGGAATGTTTCTTATCCATGTGGAATCGAGGAAGTAAAAGCTCTAGTTAAGGCATGGGTGGCTGACGGAGAGCTAAAATTGCCTTATGTTGAAGAAATGCCATCAAAAAAGGACCGTGAGAGCCCTGAATTTTGTGTCTACCATCGTTGATCTCCTCTTCGGGGTTTTCTCATCCTCGGAGAAGTCTCCTCCTCGGAGAGGTCACCTCCTCGGACAAGGTGGTTAGAGAGAATATCTCCCATGTGCCTTGCACATGGGCTCCATCCTACATCATGAGGTGCCTATAAATAGCACCCACCCATAGCTTTACAAGGGATGGATTTTGGAGAGTTTTTATCTTTTGGGAAAGAACTAATTTCCCTTCTCCATTATCAACCTTGAGAGTGAAAGTGGGAGATCAATGGGAGAGCCTTGCCATTATTCTATTCTCTAGCCATTTTGCCTTCTTCTTCACCCAATCTCTTATCTCCATCATCTCCTTTGTTGTTGTGTTCCTAAGTTGAGATTATTGAAGAATCTAAGCCTCTCATCATATTCTAGAGAATTCGAAGTTGTTCTTCAAAGATCTTCGAAGATCTTCGAATTTTCCAACTCCTTTCTTGAACCCCCTTCCTACATGTATTATAAAGGAGAATTACAATCAGGTGGATTTTTCAAAAAATAATAACAAATTCATGAAAAAGTTTATAATTTTAATTATTAATATTTATAAAAATTTTCATTAATTTATAATTATTTTTTCAAACTAGCATTAATTTGATATTCTCCCTATTATAAATCACTAGGATTAATTCGGTGGTTACAACAACTGGGGTTCGATTCTCATTTCCTTTCAATATATCCAAAATATAAATAAAAATTAATGTGATGTGATGTGAGTCATACTAATAAATCTAGTCCGCATATTTTATTTTTTAGACTATTTTTGTATTTTTTTTTTACTTGGATGTATTTAAAAATACAAAAAAAAAAAAAAAAGAGAAAAAAAAAAAAAGCCCCAATTGTGAACCATCTTGAGCTGCAAGTTCCCAATTAAACACTTTACAATATCAAAACATGTATAGAGAATAATTATATATTGATCCAAAAGAAGTCTCCATAGCAGCTTAAGATATAAAATCATGATAAACACAAAATCTATTATCTATTTATTATTTTGACATCAGATTGAATTTTAAAACTAACTTTTAGAACAGTTGGTATTAAGAATTCAACATTAGACAAAATTTCTCAATTTGAGTCATTTTTGACAAGTGTCCTCGGCTTAATTCCATGCATTCGTCAACGTAAACAAAAAATTTCTTTCATGCACATCAGGAATTTAACAAATTATCATTTCTACATCGGTATACAACAACTGTTAAAAAAAATAAAAATAATAATAAATGAATAAATTTAACAACTGTAAAATATTAAAAAATAAATAAATTTAAATGGGTTATAAATTACACCGTGTACATCGGTGTACAACCAAACTTGTAATGGTTGTCCCAGATAATAGAATAAATAAATAAATAAATACTAAAACAAATAAAACCACTAGAAAAAAGAAATTATTGTATATTCCTAAGTTTGTATCATGGTTTTAAATAATGGTATTAGGATATTGGTATCGGTGATACAGTCACATGTTGGGCAGTATCAACTTGCATATTGATGAAAATCCGAAATTTTGATACATAATGGTCGATACGATACATAATGGCTAATATTTAAAACCTTAGTTGATATGCAGCTGAAACTTATTGTTGTACAAGATGAAGAGCTTTAATCTTTATTAACCCCATTTGGCATTGTATGCTTGTTTCTCCTAACCAATGATGTAGCAAAAAACTTTATAGGTGGGAAAGAACTAACCTACATTTTTAAGTGATGAGTCATATATTGTACTCTCCGTTGATGAAGAGCACAACACAAGTAATATTGTATGAATACCTAATAATTTTTTCATTTGCACCGCTATGGACAAGTCACAGTGCCCTGGCCAGGGATGTAAGTACAAGGATTAGGGCCAGGTGGCGGGACAGTTCCTCTAAGGATGGACTGGATGAGCAGCGAAGGATCCCTCAGAGGTCTCATGGATTTTACAAGTTGTACTAAAGAAGTTGAAGAGAATAAAATGGTCACAATATGAATAAAGTTGTGAAGATAAACCTATGTGAAACCATCATTTGAACTTGAAATGACCTAACCCTTTGTTTGTAACTATATGGAAACTTACTTTTTGTTCTAAGGAAAAGGAGATTTGAGCTGGAGATTGTAATGGGAATGTTGTTGGAGATGTGATATACAGATGCTCACTACAACAAAAAGCAGATTTCGTGACTAAAACTGAATTTTTCATCGCTGAAAGTAGTAGAATTGGCGACTAAAATGGAATTAGTCGCCAAAATTGATCACTTTTGCCGACTAAAAGAGTTTAGTCGCCGAATATAAGGGTTT